GAGGGAGAGAGGAGAGGGAGAGAAGGGGAGAGGGAGAAAAGGAGAGAGGGAGAGAGGGAGAGAGGGAGAGAGGGAGAGAGGGAGAGAGAGAGAGAGAGAGAGAGAGAGAGAGAGAGAGAGAGAGAGAGAGAGAACGAACTTCAGCACAAAACTATGCCTTCCTACCCTTGTACCAAGGGCCAGAAATGAGAACAGAAATGAAAGGGAAGCTGTGACTGGGGTCCAGGTTCCCTTAATGAGATCACTGCTTCACATCGGGCTGAAGATCAGAACACAAGAGACGAGTACACTGTCAAAGGCCCTCCCTCCTCCACATAGGCTGAATCAGCTAGGTCCTCCCTACTGACTACTGACGGCAATGTGGACCAGAGGAAGCACTTTCCATATCTACTCTCAACACAGCTACAAAAGGAGGTACTGTTATTCCCTTCCTGTAGACCCAAAACTAAGGCTTATAGAAAATAACTTAAATCTGGTAGCTAGCAAATAGATAGTAACACCAAAGGCCCAAGTAAGCCTGTGTTTTTAAACTATTCTGATATTCACTCACTCATTCATTCATTCTTCTTTCTTTCTCTTTCAGAGATGTAGTCAAGGTTTAAGTCACCAGATACAGTCCACTGCAGTCTGGCTAGAGTACTATTTCTAATACAGAGAAATACTTCAAATCTTATTTCCTCTGAGGTAAGAGCAAGAAGGAAGACACTTCTATGTGAGCAGAAATCAAGCTAGCATAATTAGAAACCCCTCAACAGTGAGATAATAAATGAGGCATGTCTTGGAAAAGGAAAGGCAGGACTTTCTCCTTCCCCACAGATTTTTTTTTCCTGTCCCCAGAGATTTTTAAACACAAAAGCATCCTGCCTCTTTGCAATGCTTTCAACAATCCTACTGATTTCTCTGGCCGCCCTCTGTTGGCCCCCGGCTTGTGTCCTGCCTCTCAACAGCACTAGAATCCCACTATTGTGAGCAGCTTTTAAAAGGTGTGTGGCCTACTTGATTCCCCTGGGGCTCAGTCTTGTCATCAATAGAAGAAGCCATCATTTGCAAAACTGACATTCGGGGCATTAAAAAACTAGAAGTATCTCCTGACTGCTGACCCCAAAACAAACTAACAAAAATATACACAGGGCTATAGATGTAGCTCAGCTGGTGGAGTATTATTTGCCTAGACACTCAAAGTCCTGGGTTTGATCCCCAGCATCAACCATTGTGGCACACCCAAGAATCCCAATACTTTAGAGAGAGAGGCAGGAGAATCAAAGTTTTTAAAAGCCCAAGGTCATTTTCAACTATTAAATGCCTTAGAAGCCAGCCTGGGCTACATGAGACTCATCTAAATAAAATAACAACCATCAACAGCTACACATTGAATGGGAACCATACTTACAAGAATCATCTCTTCCAGCTCCAAAGCACCATGGGAAAATGGGTCCAAGGATGGAGACTTTATATCACAAACACACTGAAACCCAACTCCCTATCAACTATAAAACTAAGGTTACCCTTAAATACCTTGCTAAGGAGCTGGTCCCTGATGTCTTCAGGATGTCTTTACCTCTGGGAACTGCTTCAGGCTTAAATGCCTCTAATCTCTGAGATTTCTACAATGGAAGCAGCTACTTGTCCAACCTCTAGAAAACTAGCAGGCTTTAGTTCAGTGGACTAGCACTGATTGGTCATACCTCAAGTTTAATTGGTTGTAAGAATTTAAGCCTGAGACAATACCCAGAAGTAAAGAAATGTCCATCTGATTAAGGCAGGATGGCACACACCTATTTCCAGCACATAAACGGTTGAGACAAGAGGACCACAAGTTTGAGGTCAGCTTGAACTCCAGGCTAGCAAGGTCCTGACAACAAAATATAAAATTAAAATTAAGCCAGGCATAGTGGCACATAACTGTAACCACACCAAGGAGAGGCGAAGGGTCAGGAGTTCAAGGCCAATATGGGCTACATGAGACATAGATACATACATATTAAATTAAAATCAATACTTTTAAAAAGAAATGCCCATTTTTAAAGTCCTCACCATACCTTTTGGGTGCATCCCAGGTTCTTCCTTCAGTTTCTAGAACTCTTACAAAGCAGAAGGGACAAATGACTTGAGAGACTGGGACGACCTCCATGTGAAGGTCAGGTCACCGATGGTGCTACCTCTTCTGTCAGCGATGATAAGTGACAATCAAGACATAACAAAGAAGCGGCTGCATGGCCTGGGACAGACCTCAGAAGCATGCCCGTCCCCATTTCCCTGTGGACATAAAATGTAACCTGGGCTAACCATCGGACAATGTTCCCTAAGGTTCCAATGCTCAGTCTGGGAACATAGACTCATGTGAAAACAGACGGCCCACAGAGCACCAGCGGAGCAGACAGTGAATCAAAACACCTCACAAGTCTGAAGCTTAGAATAGAGTTAACAATAAGAACAAAGGCAAGTCCAGTCTCTTTGGAGGAGCCGGGGCAGGAATGACCTCTCCCGCCTCCTCTGCTGTTACCTCTCTTCCAACTCTCTTACTAGCATAAGAACTTTAAGAAAACAATCTGCTTTCTTTGTTCTCAAATTTGGAAGCAAAGTCTCAACTTTTAGTCCAGACTGACCTCGAGTTTCTTATGGAGCCTGGCTGACCTGCAGCTCATGAACCTCTAGCCTCAGAGTCCCGAGTGCTGGGATTATAAGGACATGCCATCATGCCCATCTTAAAAGATGACAATCCCCATCAACTCTAAAAGGAACAACTTCTGTTTTGAAATACTAGGAATAGTCACATGTAAAACAGAAATGTCTACCTTACAAGCGTTTAAAAGTTAAAGAGGAGGGTGGGAGAGATGGCGTAGCAGTTAAGACACTTGCTGTTCTTCCAGAAGGCCCGGGTTCAATTCCCAGCACCCACATGGCAGCTCACAATCATCTATAACTCCAGTCCTAGAAAATCCAACAACCTCTTCTGACCACCTTAGGCACCAGACATACATGTGGTACACAAACCCACATGCAAATAAAATATCCATATACATAATTTTTAAAAATTAAACAGCTCGAGGTCACCAAGCCTGCTGTACCCTTTTGGTTACAACCTCCAGGCTACAAACTCAAGGAGTACAAGCAGGTCAGTGGGTTAGAAAATGGAACCAGTAGGGGAAACCCACAGCTTTGACCCTCCTAAATTCCAAGAAACTAACTCTATTTCCATGATTGCCCTTAGCTACAGCTAGTCATCTCATTTAAAAAAAAAAATCCAAACAGCCCAGCACTGGAGGCAGAGGCAGGTGGATCTCTGAGACTTCCAAGCAAGCTTGGTCTACACAGAGAATTCCAGGCCAGTATGGCAGCATAGTGAGACCTTGTCTCCAGAGAGAGCGGGAAGGAGCAGAGAGGGAGGGAGGGAATGGGATAGGGAGAAGGAGACGCAGACTGAGACCCCAAAACAGGAAAGGATGGTAAGGCATTAGCCATAAGCCAGCTCACCTTTGAAAAACACAATGCGCTCCTTAACCCCAGAAATACTTCACTTTAATGCCCCCAATGTGTTCCACAGGGCCTGACACATGATCAGGCCTTGAGAAAGGTGAATGGAATGGTTGACTGCCCTGCTGATGACTGCCAACCCACGGCAGGGTAATCAACAAGGAAGGAAAACATGTGAGCTGGCTTTAGTGCCAGACTGCTGCATCAAGCTTTTTCTAAAAACAGGGTCTTGCTATCTGCCCAAGATTGTTTGTAACTCAAAGCAAGTCCCCCATGCAGACATAACTAAACATGTGCCTCCACTCCTTGCTTCTACCTAAGTAAAAATTATTTAATCTACTGTCTCAGTTAGGGATTCTATGCTGTGAAGAGACACCATGACCGTGGCAACTCTTAGGAAAACATTTAATTGGGCTGGCTTACAGTTCAGAGGTTTAGTCCATTATCATCATGGTGAGACATGGCAGTGTGCAGGCAGATATGGTGCTGGAGAAGGAGCTGAGAGTCCTACATCTTGATCCACAGGCAGCAGAAGGAACTGTGACGCTGGGCATATCTTGAGCATAAGAGATCTCAACGCCCATCCCCACTACCTCCAACAAGGCCATGCTTCCTAATAGTGCCACTCCCTATGGGGGCCATTTTCTTTCAAACAAGCACACCTACTAAGCCTCAATTTCTATTTCTATAAAATGGTCTGATGCCTATCTTATAAGGTTGGTTTAAGGTAGGTAAGATAACATGTCTTTGTTTTACTAATTTGTGTTTAAGGCACTGAAAAAGCTTGTGATAATAGCTATATCTTCTAGATGGAAAATGGGCCTTATTAACTACACTAGAGGAAAATTACAGGATATCATCATGGAGAGAGTGAAAATTGGCTTCAAGGGGAGAGAAATCTTAAACGGCACAATGATTTGCGGCCAACCCAAAGGTCACAACCCAAACAGATATACAGAATATCAATGGTATTAAAATTCATGTGGGAACAGAGAGGTGGCTCAGTGGGTAAAGGCACTTGCTGCCAAGGCTGACGACCTCAGTTTGATGCCCAGCCCCACGCAGCAGAAGAAAGAACTAATTCTGGAGAGCCGGCCCCTTACTGCTACATGTGCTCTGTGGCATGTACACACATATACAACGAGTAATTTCCTTTTATTCTAAATTTCATATAGGATATGTAAGTGGGGAGGAGTCATCAAAACATGGTAAATAACGGGGCTGGAGAGATGGCTCAGCAGTTAAGAGCATGTGTTACTATTTGCAGAAGACCAGGTTCAGTTCCCAGCATGCACATGGTGGCTCACAATTATCTGTAACTCCAGTTCCAGGGGAGCCATTGCCTTCTGAGCTCTGCCAACACTAGGCACACAAGTTGTGCACAATACATACATGCAGGCAAAACACTCTCACACACACAAAAGGTTGAGAAACACTTGAACCCAAAATGGTGGGCTTAGTTGCATGTGGGCATGTTACTGAGTTTGTGTACTGGTCATGGATAGAATTAGCAACTGTTTCCCTCTGCCCTGGACTTTCCTGGATTGGGCCCTGAAAGCCACACATCTAAGAAGCTTCTCTGTCCTGAGAAAATTGGAATGGTTACTCCCTTTTCTTATGGGAGAGATTAATGAAGGCATTTATAGTTCACAAATGAGGGACACCGACATGATGGGCATAGCACTTCAGCAACATTCCTAAGTCTGGCACTTTCCATTGCCCAGCCCTGAGCTCAGAGCTCCCTGTCCCTCACCTTTAAGGCCTTGGCACAAAATACCATTCACACATTGACTACTATTTCCTTCTCAGTACCAAAGCCAAGGGCAAGATTAGGCGGCCGAGGGCAGACTCAGCTGGACCAGCAAAACTGCACCCTTGTCTATGAGCTGTGTGTGTGTGACGGTTAGTTCTCATTGTCAGCTTGACAGAGTCTGGAATCGCCTGGGAAAGTCTCAATAAGAGACTGCCTAAATCAGGTTGGCCTGTAAGCTAAGTGGGAAGGACTTTCCTTAGAGTTTTTTAATCGTATGTGTATGAGTGTTTGCCTACACACATGCACATGCATGACTGGTGCTCTCCAAGATCAGAAGAGGGGATAAGATCCCCTGGACCTAGAGTTACAGATGGTTGTGAGCCACCAAGTGTGCCAGGAACTGAACCTAGGTCCTCTTCGAGAGCAGCCAGTGCTCTTAACTGCTAAACTCTCTCCAGCCCCTATGTTTATTTCTAATTGTGTGTCTGTGTGTGAGTATGTGCACCTGAAATGCAGATGCCTAAAGAGGTCAGAGGCATAGGATCTCTCTGGAACTGGAGTTAGGGGCAGTTGTGAGCCACCAACATGGGTGCGCAGAGTCAAACTCAGGTTCTACATGAGGTTCAAGCATACACTCTTAACCACTGAACCACCTCTCCAGGCCTGGGAGGAATTTTCTTAATTGGGTTAACTGATGTGGCAAGATCCACTCTGAATGTGGACAACTTCAGTCTCTGACTTTCACAGCCAGCAGAGTGATGATCCCCAGGAGGCAAGAAGGCAGTTTGGTTCAACACAACCCAGTAGCTGGTGGTAGTTTGATCTTCTGGAGTCTGACCCTGAGTAGTTTATTTTAGGTGTATTTAAGCACACTACAATCTGGTAAAAACTTATTCTGGTGATAATTAACTCAATCCTTCATTCACAACAAAGCATACATAAATCTCTTTGAGGAACAAAATAAGCTTAAAAAACGTATCGGAAACTCTTTGTAAAGTCCATAAAGATAGATTCTACAGATTGGGGAAAACAAATTTATGGTAAGGGTCGAGGGGAGGATTTGGTTTCAGAAAAGTCTCTAGCCACACAAATAGAGTAATAGTCATCAGGCTATCCCCTAGTGCTTATCTGTGAACACAAAGACCCCCCCTGCCTCCTACAGATAACACCCATTTCATGGTCTAGACCATGAACAGTGAAGTGTGAGCTGGGCAAGTAAGCATGCATTCACTTCTCTCTGCTCTGGACTGCGAATATGTGACTAGTGACTTAAATTTTGTCTTGACTTCCCCAAAATGAAGGACTGTAACTCATAACTGTGAGTTAAAATGAGCCACTCTCCTTAAAAGCTGCTCTTGCCAAGGGCAGTTTATCACAGCAACAGAAAAGAAACTACCTGAAGGAACTCCAAAGCCTAGCCTGATGGTGGTTCCCTCCCTACTGAGTCTCCTAACTCCAGGTTAGAAGTCGGCACAAGTGAGTGTCAAGATTCCTCACAAGTCTAGAAGAATCCATGCACCTGAGCAACTGGAATCTTTTATAAAGCTTTTGTCCCAAAGATTAGCTATTATTATTGATAACATGAACTAGGAGGGCCCATCATCTGAATAACAGGCTATAATAGTAAAATCCATAAATGAAATGAAAAAACAGAGGGCAGAATATTTTCTCTTCAGACCACATGTAATTAAAATACGAAGCTCTCTACAATAGAAGACTAAAGCTTGAAGCTTAAGGCTCAGAAAGAGAAAAAATTAGCGCCACAAGGATGGGTCTCCAAATTGACACCCAAACTAGAAACTAGAAATGTTTGTACTACCGAGCATGAAAGAACACCAGCTGGGGTCCCTAGCAAAATCCTCAGGATTCAACAACCAAAGGGCAAGCATTGTAAAGTGTTCAGACTGGCTCTCTGTAGAGAGGCCAAGTCAAGGACTGGCAGATGGCTCCATAATAGTTTCATTTAGGATAAAGTCAGTGTATGAATATACAAACATGAAAAGAATCAGAAAGCATCCACCTACTTGGGAAAAAGGTACAACTTCTCTTTATTTCCATGTTCTAAATTTTCTCAGTAACAGCAGATGTTCAGGGTAGGATGTGGTTCAATTGTAGAGTTATGTCTGGCATGCACAGGGCCATAAGATTTGGGCCCCAGTACAACAAAAAATAAAAATTAAAAAAAAAAAAAAGCCCAAAAAACTTCCCTTGCTTTTTCTCATGTATATCACTTCACTTAACCATCCTTTTAAGTAGTATTCCCATTTTAAGGAGTGGAAAACTGAGCCTAAGAGGTGAAGAACTTGTCCAAGGTCATATGGCCAATAAGTGGTAGAATTAAAAATGCTGTTTACCACACTCCAAAAATCCATTGTCTACCTCCAAAAACCTGTTCATTCACCCACTGGAGAGGATGAAGCAGAAAGGTCACAGGTTTGAGGCCAACCTGGGCTACATAGCAAGTTTGGGGCTACCCTAGGTTACAAAGGAGACAGTGTCATTTTTAAAAACACAAAACCAAAAAAAAAAAAAAAACATTTAAATTGGTTCTCTGAAGAGGGGCTTCTTTCTCAAGGACTAGAAGATAGTCTCCATAACAGTTTTATTTAGGATAGAGAGGGAGTGGAGACAGGAGGCAGGTGGGGGTGGCACACACCTTTAGTCCCAGCACTCAGGAGGCAGAGGCAAGAGGATCTGAGTTTGAGTCAGCCTGGTACATATTGAGTTCCAGGACAGCCAAGACTACAAGTGAGACCCTTCTCAAACAAAACAATAACAAATAATAATACTAATAATTCATCTGAAGACATGCCAGTGTCAAGGTTTTATAACCAAGTGCCACTTAGGGTTTTTAGAAAGGAAGAAATAGTGTCAGATGTTAATGAAACTGATCTCCAAAAATAATTTCTGGGTATAGATTTTTCAAAACTGCTTTGGACAGTAGCCATATCGCTTAGATAATGCCCACCTCCACCCCCAAGCCCACACCTACACACACCACTGAAAGGAGAGTAGGAGAGTAATATTGGAGGTTCTAGTGTGTTTGATATTTCAAAATACATTTTGTTGTTTTTCAGTTTTACTTAATTGGCCTTTTTCCCTGTCATGAGACACACTGGGGCTCAAAGTTGGCCTCAGTAGAGATGAGACAGCCTTCAAAAAACAACAGGAAAGAGGAAGGAAACAGCATTAAATATCAGACAATTTTTATTTCTGAGCTGTCACATGCCTACTCACTCGTTCTCCATCCCCATTATCAGTAAAATAGGCGGTCTTTTCTATTGCCAGTTTCACTAAAACAGCACCTGTATTAACACGCAGAATTTACTACCTGAATGAAAGGTTATGAGAAATCTGGTGTGGCAGCAACATCTTAAGCCCCAAGAGCCATGTCCCAGTGGAAAACACTGACCAATTTCTGGACCATGTTACACAAATAGCAATCCTAATATTACATTATGGTCTCCATTAAAATTTTATCTAATCCTAGCCAGGCAGCAGTGGCACACACCTTTAATCCCAGCACTCCGGAGGCCAAGCCAGGTGGATCTCTGTGACTTCGGGCCAGCCTGGTCTACAGAGTAAGATCCAGGACAGGTACCAAAACTACACAGAGAATCTCTGTCTCAAAAAAAAAAAAAAATTATCAAATCCCTAAATCTATCTAACTTTTTTATCAGAAAAACTTTTGAGTGTAAAGCTAGAAAGGCTCATGCACATACACAGTCTCTCACACTCCCAAAACAAATATCGCTACTATTTGTACACATACCAGTTTCTTCTCTGAGCAAACATGGAGGATTCATTTTCTTCCTGCCTACCTACAGTGGGTTAATCTAACCATTCCTTCAAAGCAGTCTGCAGTTTTGTTTTGTTTGAGATGGGAGAGCCAGCTGGATTGGAAAGGAAGCCAAGCATTATAAATACACTTAGAAACTGATCTTACATATGGGTCACAGTGATTAGATACATAGAGGGCCTCAAGTCTTCCAGGCTGAATTGGAACTCTGTGTAAGCTGAGGATGATTGAAACTTCTGATGCTCCTTCCTCTACTCGTTAGGTGCTGGGATTACAAGCATACACTATAGTATATACACATGGTTTATGGATGGTAGGGATGGAATCCAGGGCTTCATCAAATGAGCTACATCTGCAGCCCTCATCAATATATATTTAGAGGCATCTAACAGTGCAAAGAAGTTCCTGCTGGTTTCTCAGATGTTGGACATTTCTGGAATCCAGTCCTTTCCCATCAAAAGGATTCTGGGGTCACCTGAATGGAAACACCTGAGATGTAAGCAAGTGCCCACACACTACTTTATCCAAAGTTCCTGGGAGAAGCCTAGAGATTAAACACAAAGTAATTTGAAATCTCAACAAAGTTCATAACCTTATAACCTGTGCATTGTAGGCAAGTTTTACATCACCCAGTGCAAAGGAAAACACTCAGAAGGAGAGGTAAAATAACAAGGGGGAGGGCATAATTTCATGTCAAGAGACTCGGGGGGGTTCCTAACCAGTTACCAAAATGTCAACCCTAGAGATGTCTCTGAGAGCAACACCTAATTCACCCCCTTCTTTGGACAGGTGTGGAAAAACTGAGGCCGAAAGAGGAGAATAAATATGGAAAGTCAAAACAGATGTGCAGCCCAGAGCCACGGCCCCGTCTTCTGGCGCTGGAAGGGGGTCACTGCGCCGCTAAGTGGAAAATGACAGAGCACGGCTTTGGGGCGGCCAGCCTAGGACGCAGTTGGAGGTCTCGCCCGCGAGGCACTGAGATGGATGTGGTGGGACCCGGAACACTGTGGGAAGGTGCGGAGAGCGCAGGAGGGAGGGAGGGAGGGAGGAGGCCGCTAACGGCAGGAGGCCGGGCCGGCACCGCCCGCCCTGCGTCCCGCTCCAGGGCCCGGGGCCCCCACCTCCCCCTACCTTCGGCTTCCCACGGCAGCCGAGGGGCAGACACAAGCCCCACAATTCCAGGCGGCTGCAGCGGCAACCAGCTTCCTCGTGCGCAAACGCGGTGGCCGCGGCTGCCTGAACCTGAAGGCGCGTGGCTACTACGTCATCCTCGGGCTTGCCCAATGGTGGCCTGCCAGGACAGCCTCCGGCCTCTCTCGCCCCACGCGGCGGCGTTGGCCCCGCCTCCCCCGGCTGCTAAGTCCCGCCTCCTGGCGTCTCCCTCCGCGGAAAGGCTGAACTTGTGTTCACGCCCCGCCGCCGGGAGCAGTGTCTAAAAAGAGATACCCGTGGGCCCGCGCTTGTTTCTCACCGAGGACCTCAGTTTCTTGTTTAATTTCCCAAGATCGTAATTTCCTTCCAGCGTAAGGATCTCCAGAAAGAAACCTGAGGGGGTAGAAGGCAAATATAAATCACGATGTTATGACTCAGTTTATGACACAAATTGAATCTCAAGCAATAAATAGTTCTTTGAAAATTTCATGCAAAATAGAGCACCCGTAAGTCACTCGCTTTGTAGAGTGCGTTTTTTAAAATGATAAAGTATTTTAAAGATAAATAGGTCACCTGCATTTCTATACCACTGATTTGCCATACAAGATTTCACAAGATTAGAATTGCTGTCCTCTTTTCTTATAAATAGACCAAAGCTCAAGGAGGATGTTCTAGTTTGCTTTCTGTTGCTGTAGGAAAATACTGACCTAAAGCAGCTTGGAGAGGAGAGAGTTTACTTGACTTACAGGTTACAGTTCATCATCCAGCAAAGTCAGGTCAGGAACTTGAGGCAAGAACTGAAGCCAAGACCACTAGGAAATGATGCTGTCTGTCTGTCTTACTCCAGTTTGCTTAGCTACCTTTTTGATACAGTTCAGGCCCACCTTCCTTGGAATGGTACTGCCCACTGTGGTCTGGGCCCTCCTTCAACAATTACTTATCTAGAAAATGCCACACAGACATGGCCACGGGCCAATCTGTGATAGGCAATTCCTCTACTGAGGTTCCCTCTTCCTCGGTGTGTCAAGTTGACAACTTTAACTGTGATGGGATAAAGGATTTACACAAGGTCATAGAATAAAAATGGTAGAAGTGGCCGGGCGGTGGTGGCACACGCCTTTAATCCCAGCACTCGGGAGGCAGAGGCAGGCGGATCTCTGTGAGTTCGAGGCCAGCCTGGGCTACAAAGTGAGTTCCAGGAAAGGCACAAAGCTACACAGAGAAACCCTGTCTCAAAAAACCAAAAAAAAAAAAAAAAAAAAAAAAATGGTAGAAGTGGGGATTCAAAGTAGATGGGGTACCTCCAAAGTCATGTTTACTTCGTACTATACCACATATATACAGACCCATTAAACCTGACTAGTAAAATAGTTACAAGTAACTCTAGGCCATTTGTGAGTGGGGGGAAAAAATTATCCAAGCCAGTGGTGTCCTCAAATGGCAAATATTCCCCAAATATAACAACAATAACTGATTTCTGGAATTCCTTTCCCTTCTTCACATATTAGGTGAGATTCCAGCTTTCAATTTACCTTTTTAATTATGTTTATGTCAATCAGATAGGAAATTGACTTCATAATCACTAAGCAAAGCCGTGGGCACTAGCTAAGGAGGGGGAATGAGCTCCTGGGAAGTAGCTGAGTGGATAGTGCCAGTTAATGAGAAATGATAAAAACGATTCCTTGGGTTCTAGATAGAAAAGATCAGAAAGCAGCTTATTCTCCCACGGCATACTCAGGGGACGAGGTGGACCCAGGAGGAATTCTACCTTGTGTCAATGCCATAGTCAGTCAGAAATATTATAAGTCAAAAATGCATTTAAAGCTGGGAATAATGGATCAAACCCCAGCACTTAGGAGGCTGAGGGAATATGATCACAGGTTTGAAATCAATCTGAGCTACACAGTGAGACTCTATTTCAGAAAACCAAAAAATAAAATGAGAACTGCATTTGATATACCTACCCTACCAGCAGTAGCTTAGCAGTACACTGCTGAGTGTCTGCTGTTTACCCTGCTATACATGGCTAACTGGGAGCCAATGAGATTCATCACCTTCAGGGATGTGACAGTTACATCTCCATCATTAGCTTCACATGACTTAGAATCATCTAGGTTACAAACTTCTGGATATATCTCTAAAGGTGTTTGTCTTAGTCAGGGTTTCTGTTGCTGGGAAGAGACACCATGACCACAGCAACTCTTACAAAGGATAACATTTAATCAGGTGGCTTACAGTTTCAGAGGTTCAGTCTATTATCATCATGGTGGGACATGGCGGCATGCAGGCAGACATGGTGCTGGAAAAGGAGCTGAGAGTTTTACATCTTTATATACAGGCAACAGGAAGTGGTCTGAGACACCAGGAGTGGCTTGAGAATATAAGAGACCTCAAAGCCCACCTCCACAGTGACGCACTTCTTCCAACAAGGCCACACCTCCTAATAGTGCCACTCCCTATGAGCTTATGGGGGCCAATAACATTCAAACTACCATGGTGTTTAAAGTGGGAAGGCCCAGTGTGGATGTGAGCAGCATACTGTAAAAGGTCAAGTAAAAGCATCATTCCAGGGGCGGGGAACTCAAACTGAACACGAAGAGAAAAGAGAAGAGCATCAGCATTCATCTCTTTCTGCTTCCTGACAGGAGACAAAATGTGACCAGCCTCCTCATGTTCCTGCTGTCAGGCCCCCATAAAGGACAGCAAACTACAAACCACAATAAATCCTTCCTGCCTTCGGCTGCCTTTATCGGGGTACTTGTCTCAGCAAGAGACGAGAAATGATACAAGGGAATACGTTTGTTTATTTGTGTTTTTGGTTTGTTTTTTTTTTTTGAAACAGGGTCTCACTTTATAGCCCTAGATAGACTGATACTAACTTGGTATGCCATCTGGCCTCAAATTTACAATCCTCCTGCCTCAGCCTTCAGAGAGGCTGGAGAATGTAGGCAGCAGCCACCACACCCAGCCTGAGAGAATCTTTCACCACAAATCGTGCTGCCAGGAAGCCCTTCTGTGTTCTTAGACTGCTTGTGCGCTCGAATGTGAGCATCAGGCTGCATGCCAGCCTTGGCTGTGGAAATGCAGTTGTATGTGAAACGTTCCTTCTGGGTTCTTAAGCTCAAAGAGCTCAGGGTCAAGTAAAAGACAAGGAAACGTAAAGATCAAATCACAACAACCAGTAAGTACCATTTTGCAATAACATTCACAAAGAGCTCAAACTATAGTCAAGTTTGGTCATACTGCAGTTGTCCAAAATCCCTTTCCTTATTTTTTTTAAAGATTTATTTATTATGCATACAATGTTCTGCCTGCATATGTCCCTGCAGGCCAGAAGAGGGCACCAGATCTCATTACAGATGGTTGTGAGCCACCATGTGGTTGCTGGAAATTGAACTCAGGACTTCTGGAAGAGCAGCCAGTGCTCTTAACCTCTGAGCCATCTCTCCAGCCCCCTTTCCTTATTTTTAAAAGATTTGTTTTGCTGAGTATGGTGGTGCACATCTTTTTAATCCCAGCTGTCAGGAGGTAGAGGCAGGTAGATCTCTGTGATTTTGAGGCCAACCTGGTCTACAGAGTGAGTTCCAGGACAGTCAGCGCTAAAGAGAGAACCAGTCTCAAAAAAATATTTATTTTATCTTTAAAATTATGTGTGTCTGTATGTGAATATGTGCACACGAGTGCAGGTACCCACCAAAATCTGGAGTTACAGACAATTAATTGTCAACTGCCCAATATGAGTGCTAAGAACCCAACTAGGGTCTTCTAGAATAGCAATATATGCTCTTAACCATTACTCCATCTCTCCAGCCCCCTCCTCCCCCAATCCCTTTTTGAGAAAAGTCTCTTCACATGCGTTATCTACACCAGACACTCTTGTGAGACAGTGGGGAAGATTTTGTTCCCATTTCCACAGAATGGGTTTGTTCTGAACCCATTAGAGATGTGCCGCCCCAGCTGCGGCTTTTGAACGCTACATTAGGGGGTACCTCAGTGTGAGGATGGGAGTGCTCCCAGAAGAGCTAAGTCAGATAGCCAGTATGGAGAAGCAGGACTCTAAGGAGAATTCCAGAAAAGACCAAGGGAAGCACTCATGTTCAGAATGGGAATCCACAACCACCTGGGCTGTACTCTGAAGAGGTAGACCCAGCCAAGGCAGGGTAAAAACCAGCTGACCTTTCCCCAGACTTGGGCACACATGAACCCCTAGCACCAGCTTCACTGATAAAAGCCAAGAATTCTAGTCTCAAGCCAGCAAGATGGCTGAGTGGGTAAAGGCGCAGGCTGCCAAAACTGGAGACCTGAGTTTGGTCCTGGGAGGCCCCTGCGGTGGGAAGAGTAAATGAACCAACCCCAAGAAGTGATCCTTTGACCTGCACCTACATGGGTGGCATTAGCATGCCCACACATGTGTGTTCATGAATGCGCATACACACACACACACACTAATAAGTGAATAAATGTAATTAAAAGTAAAAAATAAAACCAAGTTTCCTGTTTAATTCTAGTTTCTATACCCAGGACCCTAGTGACTGTATTGCTGAAGACCTCAAAGACAAGACAGGGATCCGGATGGCAGTGGTGGCGCACGCCTTTAATCCCAGCACTCGGGAGGCAGAGCCAGGCGGATCTCTGTGAGTTCGAGGCCAGCCTGGTCTACATAGTGAGATCCAGGATAGGCACCAAAACTACACAGAGAAGCCCTGTCTTGAAATAAAAGGAGAAAAAAAAAAGACAGAATAGGGAGAGGGAAAAAACAACACAGTATTTTGAGTCTTTATGAAGGGGGTGTGAAGACTTCTCGATGGCAGGCTTCTACCCGAGAGAAGACTCTGTCAGCTCCGAGGGGCTTGGACCAAAGAAAGGTCAGTAAACCTAAACTGCACTAGCTCTCAGCTAAATAGGCCTTTCTGATTCAAAGGGAACACATTGAAAAAAAAAGAGACCCAGAAGACAGACAAGATTTCAAAGTATTTTCACCAAACAACATCGCACCGAGGCTGAAGCAAAGCTCCAAGAAGAGCAGAAGGACTTCATCCACACATCTATTCGTGTACACAGACATCTGACAAAATGCACTGCCTGCGGGCGCCCGCAGAGGCTTGGAATCGCAGGAACGCACACATGCTTAGGGCAGACAGCCTTAGCCCTGCTCAAGTGACTCACTTGA